CAAGCAGTTGGTCAAAATGTTAACAATCATCTTCTCACTGGGCCAGCCCATGCCCGTGAATCATCAGGGTGTGTATTACCTTGCATATATATACTATATACTAAACACTTCAATCATTGCGATTTACAATTCCACTTTAGATTATTTGGGCGTGCACTTTGCCAGCTTTCTGCTGGAAATTGTGGAAGGAAACAATCCGGAACAGCTCGTCGATATGGTAATCGCCCTGATATTGGCCTTCAATCAACAATTTGGCGATCATACGGTGAATGTGATCATTGAGGCCATGCAGAATCTGCCCACAGCCAAAGTGTTCACCGAGAAGCTGTTGCTCTTGCTCAATCGGGAGGGTGAGTGGTACTTAAATAGATACACCACATATGCTATATAATCGAATACTTGAATTAGATGATCCGACGCGCCTGCTGAAGCACCACAATGAGCACATGAATACGGTGCTGCGCATGTTTATTGACATATTCAGCCATACGGACACGGCCGGCATGTTCTATACGAACGACATTAAGGTGCTAATCGATATTGTGGTGCGTCAGCTGTCCGATTTGGATGCGGGCAGTGCGGTAAGTACATCCACATACATAGAAAGTGTGTGTATATGATAAATGTATATCTATTTCTATTTCATTTAGACACGCCCATGCTATTTGGAGCTGTGCCGTCGCATCCTGCGCAACACAAACTATCAGGACCATCAGCATCGCAAGCATGATCTAATGAAGATCTTTACGCGCATCTTTTGCGAGGAGACCGAATGCAGCGCATCCGATCAGCAGCTGGTGCGCGAGATAGCCAACGAATTTCCCCAATTATTTAAGGCATAAATGCAAAGAGACGAAGAAACAGAGAAACCAAAAAATGCAAACGAAAAGAAAACACTCCTATTAAAACAAAATTAAATAATGTAAAGCGTTGCTAGTGAGGCTACTAAAGAGGCCAACAACATTTTAAATATGAAATTGTATAGTTTAGAAAACAGATCAAGTCGTTTATCATTCAATAACTTTAGCAACTGGAACACGTTTATTTACAATCTCAATTATATGAAATTCATTTATTAAGCTAAGTTTCGGTCTAAAGTCATTTTTGTAGTTCATCTTAAGAGGCAGCCAACTAGTTGCATTTAAATATGAAAATATTTTGTGCTTGTGTACGTAACCATTATAGAGTTATAGACGCTCTAATATATCACGACTATGATAATGATTCTGATTGTCATATGAATTCGATTAGAAACAGAGAATCTATGTTTAAGTAAAATGAAGCCAAAGCTAACACATTACCATAATGCTGTTTGAATGATAATTATATAAAAACCATTTCGACTACGATTCGAATTCTGATTCTGATTCTGATTCTGATTAGTTCAGTTTTACCAAACACATATACACATATATACACGCATACATATATGCTATGTATTTTTAGAGATTAACAACCAAATTTATAGAAAGAAAATGACAAATTTTACATCAAAATTTATAGTTAAATATAAACCAGGGTCATACCAAATTTATAAATGACAATTGATTTGTTTAGCAACAAAATTATACATTATATGAAAACTAAAAGGAAAAACTTAATAGGCAAAACAAGATTATAAACTCACTACGAAAATGATATTAAAAAATAAATGAAATGTTGATTGCAATTTATATATAATATGGTAAATGATATTTAATGGAATCGAATTAAATCAAAGTACGAAGGCCAATGTTAAATTTGTTTATATAATCTATGAGAAACAGAATCCAATATGCAAAATCGTCGATCGATATGTTAAAGCTCAGCCGCTAAACGGCCTAAAAAACATCAAATGGAGAACATAAGAAAGTTTATAATTAATGATAATATATAGAAAAATTATACAAATTTGTTGAGAAATAATGAAAAACAAAAACACACAATCGCACACACTAAGACTTACTCGCTATTCCCTCTCTCTCTCTGTCACTCTCCCCTTGTCTCTTCTAATCTATGTATTGCACTTTGTACAAGTGAGATTTTAAATAAGTTTTAAAAAACAATTAACGAAATTAGTTTATTGGCAACCGAGTTAATAAAAGACAAATCTATTAAGTTTATTGTTAAACAAAAACAAAATATTGTTGAATTGAATTAAGTAACAGGAATGTACAAAATGCATAAACAAGGATAAAGAAAGCGATAAACAGCGTAAACAAAAACTAACTAAATGCAATTAATAAGCCGCACATTTCAATAAAATCTACAACAAAACAAAAGAGAAAACATTTAAAACAAGATAACAAATTCTAATTGTGCAACATTTTACAAGTTTTTCGATTCGACTAACAATCCACAACAGCAAAAACAACAGCAACAGCAACAATATTTGAAATGAACATTTAACTATTTATATATGAATATGAAATTAAATTAGCAAAACAATTTGCAACTTTGTTAATTTGATCATTTTTAACCAAAGAGAACAAACGAATATAACAAATATTTAATATTTCAATAAAGCAACAGCAAATGGCAAGTTAAAAAAAAAAAAAAACAATTCAAAGGCAACGCAGCAAAAGACATTGAAAATGTAACAAACAATGAAATTGCAATAATTGTAAAGAGTAACAAAATATAATATTTAAAATTAAAAATTATAACAAATATCTGGATTTCATTATTTAGCAATTGTTTAAATATAGTCGAAATTTTGATTGAATAAGGATTTGCTTGCATACATATATGGAATCATAACTATGAATCATAACAATCCTATGATATAGATATTGACATCTGGTCTATTTAGGTTTGTTGTTCTATCTATCCATGCATAGTCCTACGATGTTGGGCTTTAGAATTGAGGTATATGATGGTTCTACAACCATCATAGATTCAATATATATATATTGTATATGTAAACGTAAAATCTCTACCTTAGTCTTCGAGAGGGTTCCGTTCATTCAGACGGATAGCTGGAAATACGAGTACGGCTGGATTCACTCAGTTCGGCGCTCTATTCAAATATATATCGACTGTTTCGGCTTGGCCACGCCTCCATCGGTCTGTTACATATCTTTGAACAAAACCATTATTCCCACTTTCCTGTTTTTGGGGTATATTCTTCCCATAAAAAATCCCACCACTTATTGAAACGAAATTTAATGGCTTTCGCTTGCTCAACACATGGACTAATACATTTTATTTTGCAATTTACGAGTATAGGCTTTATAGATTGATAGAGTATTAGATATGTGTGCCTAACATGGGCACGATTAAATGTCTCAATATATTATCATATGTATGTGCTTCTTGTATGTTGTCTTTCTAGGCATGGCATACGTATTTATAACAATTAGAAAGTAAGTTGATTAAGTATATATATATATTATATATGTGTATATATAGTATAGATTGCGAGTAATATGAAATGCTAATCGATTTTGACAAGAGGACATTCTTGTGACAATACGATCCCAAACAACAGCAACATTTAACATCGTTAAAATACCATTAGGTTATATAAGTATGTATATGTTGTAGTATGGAAACATAGGTATGTATATATATGCGATTATTAAGTAAAGTACATCCAATTTGGGCCGCTTAACAAATGGTTACAGTTGTAGTTGTGCGTTTGTTAACTGGCTTCATTTTGAAAAATGAGCCAAGTTTTCTTTCTGCCTTCCTGCTCATATTTCCTCAACGGCGATTCACATTTCTCTTGCTAGTAGGGTAGTCCTAAGTAAGATTAGATAGAGATAATTTTTTTCTGTTTAAACTCTTGACCAAGTATTACAATTTTCTTCACTCTCATCATCTCCTCCTCCTCGCAACGGTTCCAGTTTTGTCGGTTGTCGGGTGGACGTACCAGCCGGTACGACCGGCGTGCCATCGACTAAGGCTGAGAGGCAAATGCCAAGCGTGTGGACTACACACTTTTGCTTTTATAGGAACATCTCGACCCGGGTCTCAGTTGCTTCAGCTTAAACGCAATTTTACGCCCAGATGCGCATCTAACCTAATTCATTTATTTAGCACTTGTTCGACGAGTGAGCCAACATATTGTTCATTGCACTTTAATTCGATTTTGATTGGAAACGCTCTTATCGCATTTGTGCAGACGACCTAAGCACTGTGTCTGTCTTAGCCCGAAGTACATGAAGCCTTGACGTCACACTCGAAACGTTTATTTCGTTTCAATAGCTAGGAAATAGGCATGTACTGCCAATATACGTCCATGTATATAAATATGTGACGCTTCAATGGAGAGAAGTGAATAAATATGTAGCTAAGTGTGCTCAATTAGAATCAATGGTTTCGAGTAGTTAAATTGATTTGTATCTAAGTACATACATATTTCAAAATTTACAGCAATACAGTTGTGCATACAGATATATGATATATGGTAGATGCATTGAAGAGCTCAATGAGGAGCTTCCTTTCCATCTAGTTCTGCCTATGTATATCAGTAATATTTGTGGTTAATATACATATGTATTTCACTGGAATTCATTACATATTTTACATTATACTATTATCGTTAAGAAGGAAATTCATATTCAATATCATACTCCCTCCACTCAGTCATTTAATCATCATTAGATTCTATAATAGCCCCAATCGCTTACACATATGTTCATTGGACCTAGTTCTCTTCCTCTTGCATTTATTTTTGGAAATCAATGAGCCGTAGTATACCGTAATTTTGTCTCTTCTATGACGTCACACCATACAGCTGTTCTAGTTGAAATTCATTCATAAAAAGTTTCAACTGCAAAAAATAAGCCAAAAAAAAAGAGGGACAATCTGCGCATTAGAGCCAGTTGAGCGAAGTTCTTTTCGCCAGGACAAAAGCGCATTGGTGCACATGTGCGATAAGCGAAATTGAATCAATCAATGGAAAATTGAGATTCATTGAGAATACTGCGCCTCAAACGCTGCGTGGGCGTTGTACGTAAGGAGCTAGTACGCTCTTAATACAAATCTGGTATAAAAGGCCAGCTTGGCAAGCGGGCTAGTCATTCAAGTTCCGAGACTTGCTCAAGTAACGGCTACCACATAGAGAATTCTGATCCCATTCGAAGCACAGCGGAGCTAACAACTAACTGCAGCACATAAACGGAGTACTTGGAAAGCCAAAGGATGGCCGCGAATCCCCAATGGTTAAGGCTTAACATTCTAGTTGTGCTCCTCCAGCTGGGTGGATTGAACCTCATCCATGCCAATACCGAGACATGCAGCAGTCGTCAGCAGCAATGCCCATTGCAACCGTTATATCGCTCGGTCAACGATCATCGCAGTGAACTGGAGGAATACGACGAGCACCTAATATATAGACAAACAAATGAGAGGAATGACAAGCCAATGTATCGGGAGAACAGTCGGCGAGATGATTGGTCAGTACGACTAGACTCCGAGGATCGCGTACAGTTACTTGCTCGCGATGACAGGCGGGACTCTCGCAGGGAAGTGCGACAAACTGATCGTCGCGATCATACTCGCCGAGAGGCAGAACGTGAAGATACCCGTGATGATACTCGCCGAGAGGAGCCCAATGATCGTCGACGGGAGAAACGTGATGAGTTCGAGAGAGAAGAAAGCGCAGATCTGCGGAGACAAGAACGGAATGATATTCGCCGAGAGGATCTGCAAAGGGAAGTACGTTCTGTTCTCCGAAGAAAGGACTACGATGATAATCGTAGGGAACAACGCAAAGATTTCCGAAGCGAACAACGTGATGTTATTAGCCGAGAGGACCGTGTAGATCTTCGAAGGGAAGGCCACTCTGATATCCGAAGAGAGGAACGCGGTGATATTCGCATAGATAGCCGCAATGATTTCCAAAGGGAGGTTCGTGATGGCAGTCGCCAAAAAGAACGCGAAGATCTCCGAAGGGAAGAAAGTTCTGATCTCCGAATGGAAGAACGTCGGCGAGAGGAAAGCGAAAAGGATATCGGCCGAAAGGAACGTGATGCTATTCGCATGGAAAGCCGCGATGATTTCCGAAGAGAGGAACGCGACGATATTCGCCTAGAAGATCTCCGAAGGGAAGAATTTGGTGATATTCGCACTGTAAGCCGCAATAATTTCCAAAGGGAGGAACGTGATGATATCCACCGCGAGGAACGTAATGAAATTCGCATGGAAAGCCGCGATGATTTGCGAAGGATGGGTGATTATACTCGTCGACTGGAACGCGATGACCTCCGAAGGGACGAACGCTATGATATTCGCCGAGAAGATCTCCGAATGGTTGTGCGATCTGATCTTCGTAGGGAGGAACATGATGACATTCGTCGAGAGGAACGCGAAGATTCCCGAAGAGAGGAACGTGATGGCGAAAGACGTTCTGATCTCCAAAGGGAGGAACGCGATGATGTTCGTATGGAAAGCCGCGATGATTTCCGAAGGGTTGGTGATTATACTCGCCAACTGGAACGCGATGATCTCCGAAGGGACGACCGCCATGATATTCGCCGAGAAGATCTCCGAAGGGTTGTACGATCTGATCTTCGCAGGGTACAACATAATGATATTCGTCGACAGGAACGCGAGAATTCCCGAAGAGAGGAACGCAATGATGTTCGCGAGAATTCCCGAAGAGAGGAACGTAATGATGTTCGCCGAAAAGTAGACTCTCGAAGCGAAAGACGCTCTGATCTCCAAAGGGAGGAACGTGGTGATATTCCTATGGTAAGCCGCGATGATTTCCGAAGGGTAGGTGATTATACTCACCGTGCGGAACGCGAAGACCTTCGGAGGGAAGAACGCTTTGATCTCCTTAGGGAGGAACATGAGGATGCCCGAAGAGAGGAACGTGATGACGTTCGTCGAAAAGAAGACTTACGAAGCGAAGGACGCGAAGATCTCCGAAGGGAAGAACGTTATGATGTTCGGCGAGAGGAACGCGAAAATGATATCCGCCGAGAGGAGCGTGCTGATATTCGCATGGGAAACCGAGATGATTTCCGAAGAGAGGAACGCGATGATATTCGCCGAGAAGATCTTCGAAGGGAGGAACGTGATGATTTTCGCCGCAAGGAACGCGAAGAGGGCATCCGTCGAGAAGAACGCTCCGATCTCCCAAGGGAGAAACGAGAGGATTTCCGAAACGAAGGATGCTCCGATCTCCAAAGGGAAGAACGTGATGACAATACACGAAAACAAGAACGCTCCGATCTCCGAAGGGAACAGCGTAATAATATTCGCGATGATTTTCGCACTGAGCATCACGACTATTTGCGAATTGAAGAACGCGATGATTTCAGACGAAAGGAAAGTAGTAGAATAAATGATGCATTGCGACGACATGAGCAACGAGAAGACATCCAGCGACGTGGCGAAAATGAGGAACGCGACAGTCGTCGCTATGAGGAAAGGTTGGAGCGTGTGGATGCAGAACGCGATGAAAGGCGAGTGAGTCGGGAGGGTATGCGACGAGTTGAAATTGAAAGTGACCGAGAAGTTCGAGACTCCGATATGGTCTCTCGCCGTGAAATTCAACGTGATGGCCGTCGACTGGCCACATTTCGCGATTACCATGGGGATCAAGAACTGCAACGTGTGGAGACTGGAAGGCGAGTAAATCGGGAGGACACGCGAGCGGCCGAGAGGGTCGTATCTCGTAGACAAGACAATGATAATCGAACTGACCTTCAGCAACAAGAACGTAATAGTCGTCGTGGAGAGGAACGCACTGTGCAACTACGTGAAGACCGCGATATATCTCGAAGACAGGAACGTGAAGCTCGTCGCATTGTGGATGCCGAGCAAATGGAGAGGCGAGTCAATCGAGAAATAATTATGCGCAAGGAAAGAGATGAGATGCGAGCAGAGCGCGGCACTCGACGACAGACTGAACGAGTTGATCTGTTGGATGCTGCTCGAAGACAGCAGCTTGAAACCCGCCGTCGTGTGAACGTGGAGCGAGATGCGATGAATCAAATAAATCACGAGAGGAGACGGGAAAGGGAAGGAATTCAGCGTTCAAGTGATCGCTATGTTGTTCGACAAGAGGAAAGAAACGATCTCCGCCTTGTAAATCGTGAGGAACGAACACAGAAACAGGAAGATCGTCAACTTGTTACGGAAAACATGCGGCGGATCGTTAGCTCTCGGCGTGAAGATCGTTTTGGAGATCAACATGAGAACCGACGAGACGAACGTGTTGATATCCGACGAGAGGAGGGCATCAACCGCCGTCATCAAGAGCGCGATATCTCACGCAGCCAAGAACACGAGCAACGCGGTGTATCTCGAAGAGAGGAACGTGATGCCGATATCTCTCGACGTGGAGAACGACGTGGAGATATGCGGGAGGACGATCGACAGCAGGTCGACAGTCCTCGTGACATGGAACGTCGTGAGCGCGAGGCTTTAGCCGCTAGGGGGTCAATGGAGAGTGAGGGACGTGAAAGTCGAGAAGATGCCAGGTTGAGTGCCCGTGTCATATCGTCAGCATATAAGAGCAATAATCTTGAAGACCAAAGGCTGTTTGCACAGGATATGTCTCTGGCCTGGCTAAGCAATAACTACAGCAAACAGATTCTTTTGATTGCAGGTCAAGCGCTAATTTTGCTAGTACTCTACTCAAAGTTGAACAGCCGTAAGGGACATGATCTGGGGTGAGTATATGACGATGATGACAATAAATTCATGTAACTAAATATACAATTGTTCCATAGACACCGACTGGGTCATCATATCCAGGGCTTTATGCATCCAGCTGGCTGTTAAGGCACACGGCTAACACGACAAACACGGCTTTACGAGAAACTTGATAACCTGAAACGCATAAGTACCTAAGCAAATATACATACATATATACGGAAATGCTATTTAAAGAATAACCCCTTCGTTCCCACATACCGTGCAGCGAGCTGAATGCCGAGAGTGGATCTGAGAGATGTGTTTGCAAATGTATTCTACAATTTATTCGAACTGTTACTGTAAACTGTAAACTGTAAACTACACTGAACTACAAGCAAATATATAAGTTATACATAGTTGAGCATATGCAAAGCGAGAAATCTGTTTCAATTTGGTTTTCCGACTTTGTCGCCTGTCCACAAGCCCCTCAAGAATCATATCATTTAATCCCTGATGTTCTCTGGCTGGGACAAGGCGCTGCTGCAGTTGTCCGCATCGCATAGTTAGTCACATGCCTGCTGACCACCAAGCCATGCATACAGTATGCTCTTACGACTATGGGTATTACCCACTTAAGAGTTACAGCACAACCACACACACACAGAGAGAGAGAGAGAGAGAGAGAGAGAGAGAGAGAGAGAGAGA